AGTTTTTGTTATCAAGCGTTGATGCATGAGAACCCTCTCTGCGTAGTTGTCTCTGGCGTTGTCAGAACTTTCAAACACAAGTAACTCCATTTTGATTTTGAGGATTAGCGTTGCATCCATCAGAATCCCCTGGAGGACTTATTAAAAGAAGTTGGGTGGACCCCACCCCCTAAGTGAATCTATAGATCTATACTGAGAATACCTGAGAATTTACATATCAAACAAGTTTAGCTTAGCTCCTGGAGAACCTGTTTCTTGAGTAAGGGGAATGGTTTCTGTGACTCATAGCAGCATTATTCATAATTGCCAAAAAATATTCACCAACTGATAAACTGGTAAACAAAATGTGATGTATCTATACAATGGAATATTATTTGGTGAAATATAAATGGAGTAATGGTACATGCTACAGCATAGATGAGCTTAGAAAACATTATGCTTGTGAAAGAAGCCAGCCACAAAGGACCACAGCTTGTATGATTCCATTTATATGCAATGCCAAACAGGTACATTTATAGAGGTAGAAAGAAAGTAAATTAGAGGGCCAGGCATGGTGGCTCAAGCCTGTAATCCCAGTACTTTGGGAGACCAAGGTGGGTGGATCACTTGAAGTCAGGACTTCAAGACCAACCTGGCCAACATGGTGAAACCCCATCTTTACTAAAAATGCAAAAAGTTAGCCGGGCCTGGTGGTGGGTTCCTGTAATCCCAACTACTCAGGAGGCTGAGGCAGGAGAATTGCCTGAACCTGGGAGGTGTCAGTGGCAATAAGCTGAGATCTCACCACTGCACTCCAGCCTGGGCAGCAGAGTGAGACTCCATCTCAAAAAAAAGAAAAGAAAAAAAAAAAGTAAATTCGTGGTTGGCCGTGGGGAGAATGATAAGTTGGATTTGATAACTGAGAACTGTGGGGTTACTTTTTGGGGGAGTGAAATGTTCTAAAAGTGATTGTGATGGATACACAACTCTATGAATATGCTAGAAGTCATTGATTTCTGCTCTTTAAATGAATGAATGGAATGGTATGTGAATTATATCTCAATAAAGCTGTTAAAAAACTATACCAGTTCTTAATTCTCCATGGGACCTGTTACAAAAAGAAAAAAAAATAGAAAAATATATCAGTTCTTAAGAGAAAATTATTCATTATTATGAACAGCTGACCTGTAATACACAGATATTCATCAGAATTCATAACTTGACTTTTCAGATAACTGCATTGGAAAATCACTTGTTAATTCTGAAGAAATGATTAGGAACTCCAAAGAGAAGGACACTACATTGGGAAAATGTTAAGCATTTTCCACTGTGCAGTATAAAATATTTCCATGTTTTTGTCAGGTGTCTTAGCTCAGAAATAAAACTCCATTTTTCTTGTGTAGTGCTTGGCTGCTTTCCTGCAAGAGAGCTTAAGATGGGACTTCTGATTAAGGAGTTCCTGGCTGGGAGCTTTTATCCCTAGGCAGCTAAGTGCCAGAATGTTAAGGGGAAGATGCGTTCATGCGTTAGCCTTTGAATATTATTAAGTCATATGGATTCAAATGGCTTATATTAGAATAAAGGAAGTGAATTTTCTTCCCAGTTGGTTTTGTGTCATTCAAAACTCATTAACTCACTTAGATAAAACAGTGCAGTTGGTCCTCCATATCCTTAGGTTCTGCGTCTGTGGATTCAGCCAAACACAGATTGAAAATATTTGGAAAAAAAAATTGTGTCTGCACTGAATAAGTACAGACTTATTTCCTTGTTATTATGTCAACCTAAAAGGAAGAAGCTGAGGCGAAGTTAATGTAAGTAGCGAGTTTATTTGGGCCATGCTTGAAGATTGCAGCCTAAGAGCATAGATTCAGGTTGCCCTGAATGTACACTCTAATTAGCAGCAGTTACAAGTAGGTTTTTAAAGGACAAGAATAGTTACCCAAAAAGCTGACTAAAAGAAAAATAAATAAAGGAAAAGAAGAGGCAGTTTCTAAATTGTTCACCAAGACTTTACATTAAAATTACATAAGATACGCCTTATTCTTTGTATCACAAATTCTAGGAACATGAATATAATGGATGATGCAGCGAGGGAGGAATGAAATGCCTTTAAACAGCTGCCCCCGGACATGGTTGTTGGGAGCATAACTGAAGTCCTATACTTGATCTCCCTGGGCCTGATAAATTTTGTATACCTCACATAACTCAAGACTGCTCTGAGCTATTTTTCTTATCTCAATTGCAGTTATATTGTACTGGGAGCTGTTATAAGTAATCTAGAGATGATTTAAAATACAGGCGTGCACCATATAGCAATCAACAGACTGAATGTACCACAGTGGTCTTGAAAGATTATAGTAGTGTATTTTCACTAAATTTTTTTATGTTTAGATATTTTTAGATCTACAAAGGCTTACTATTACATTACATTTGCTACAGTATTCAGTAACATGCTGTACAGGTCTGTAGCCCAGAAGCAACAGGCTACACTATATAGCCCATGTGTGGTAGGCTATACCACCCAGGTCCAGGTCGGTGTAAGTACACTTTGTGATGCTCACACAAGGATGAAATCACCTAAGAAGGCATCTCACAGAACGTATCCCTGTAGTTAAGCTATTCATGATTATATGGAAGGATTGTACAGGTTTTGTGCAAATATGCCACCATTTTATATCAAGGACTCAAGCATCCACGGATTTCAGTATCCTGGGAGATCCTTGAACCAATCCCCCATGGATACTGAGAGATGACGGTATAGCACAGGCAAATCTTGATATAATGATCTTACTGATTTCTTACCTATTTTTCTATCCCATTCAGCTTATAGGCATGACTGAGAAATGAATTCTGTGCTTCATTTAGGCTAGTGCTTTATTTTAGCCACGTGAATGTCGGGAATGGAAAGAGAATTATGACACTGGGACGACTTTCTAATTCCTCCCAAATCAGATTCTCATGGTGACGTCAGTCTGTTTTGTGAAGTATTGCAGCCTTTTAAACAGGTCATCCTTCAAATTCATGTTCGAAAGCAAATATCAAAGCATATTCTAAAACCAGATGTAAATTAATTTTAGATTAGCTGTCATTTTAGATGATTCATATCACTGCTCCCCTCATCATCACAGATATTTCTTGCATGCTTCTCAAAGGGACTAGGAGCTCTGCTTCAATGGGTGTTTCAGAAATAAATGACACATTTTTGAAGTTTCTCAGGGAGATTTTTATGTATCTTGAAATCTCAACAAAAACATGTCTCATTACAAAGATTAGGGATGCCAAGGAAGGTGAACCCTAATCCTGTTAACCAGACCCTCCCTCATTACTGTACCTTGTCTTTACAGGAGCTCTCCCATGAGACCACATTGTGACCACAGTTGTTGCTGGGTGCGCTCAGCAAGTCATTACACCAAGATGGGGTTGCAGCAGAGAAGGAGGTTTAGTCATAAGGTCACTTGATGAGGAGATGGGAAGAATCCTCAAATTCCTCCTTGAAAAATTTGGGGTTAGGATTTTTAAGGGCTTTGGAGTGGGCTGAAGTGTGGAATGTGGAGTTTCTTGATTGGCTGAAAAATGTAGGGTGAAGTTATGGTCAGGGAGGTGAGGAAGCTGTATTCTCAGGCAGATCCTACTCCTCTGCGGGGGTTTTGAAACTGATGGCTGGAATTCAGAGTCTGAAAAACATCTTAGATGGTCCTTAAACAAAAGTCTTATGATTGTAATGTCAGAGATCCTGGATCTGTATGAACAATGGGATGTAAATGGTCAGATTTTTTAGCAACCAGGAAGTGGGCTGAAGCCCAGCCTGATTCATGCTTAATTATATCTGTCCGGAACCCAGCATGCAATTTTTGTCAACCATGTGGGGCAGTTTCAGCCTTATGGTGTGGTGTTCAGAGGAGAAAGATCTGATTGCTTTTGTGATCTGACTTTCTGAGATCCTTCATTTTATGGGACCGTGGAGTCCTGTGTGTGACATAGGACCAGAATCTGCTATTTGTTTTGGTGTTTCAATAATTGCTGTTGTTATAAATCCCCCAGATGATTTTAATATTTTAACTGTTCAATCTTACAGTAAGAAGCACAACTGTTGGCAGAAACCAGTTATGTGTTTGAGAGTGGTCAGTTAATGACCATCCAAACAACTGTATAGAGCAGGAAGAATACATATTTCAAGTGGAGGGGAGGAAAATGTCATTTTCCCTCTACTCTTCTAATTTCTGGGCTGAAACCTCTATAACAAAACAACAGGATAACAAAAGAAAAACAAGCAGAAGTTTGTTAACATGTATACTTCATGTATACATAGTAGATACCCAGGAGAAAATGAGTCATTCTGAAAGAGGTGATCTAGAACTCTGACTTATAGAGCATTTTCAACTAAAAACAGAGAAGGTTGTGGGGGAAGCCAGTGATGGGGAGGTGAACAGGACAAGTATGATAAAGTATGATAAATAAGAGTAAGGTTTGTGATGCAGATTTCAGTAGGCCTTCTCCATTGATAATAGTTTCTTCTGATTTAGTCATCCTCTTTTGGTACAGAGAGGGAAACAGCCTTACAAATGGAGAGTTCCTTTATAGATGTACATTTCACTCAAACTGGTATACTCTGTTTTCAGAGCTTCTCCTGTATCTGCAGTTTCTCAAAATAATCCTTATGCCATTGAGGCATATTTTGGGGTGGCAGATGGTCTCCTACACAAGCAAGAGACATCTGCTGTCTTCATCAGCTCCCTGAATAACTGGTGCCAGGGAACCAAACATCAAAACTGCCATTAGTTCAGATATTATGGATTCAGTTTCTGGAACAGTCCATTGTGATGCCAACATGGTACAGGGGATTCCTTCTCGCCTTGTCCTAATCCTGTCATCCTATAGAACCCCTGTCTTACAGCACTGTGAAGTTCAAAACCATACCAACCAACCCTAGCCAATAGGCATTTGTGGCAAAAGGAAGAAAAAGCTGATGGAGGTCTCATCTGCATTTGTTTTTTCTCTCCCATCTCCTGCATCCTTACCAGGCAAAAGTAGAAGAAAAGATCCAGGAGGTCTTCAGTTCTTACAAGTTCAACCACCTTGTACCAAGGTAAGCTGTGGTTAGGAGTTTGAGGGGATGAGCACCACCATGCCAAAGCCTTTCTTTCCTCCTTGAGCAAGTCTAACCACAGGGGAGCATCCACTGCAAGACTACTGTTTCTTGTCCTTGTGGCTACCTGGATATGCTCTGACCCTCACTCTTCCCTCTGGTAGAGTACTGTTGAGAGGTGATTCTCCACGCAAGCTGAGCTGACAGGTGTTACATGAGGATTCCACTCAGTGCCTGAATTCTGAAGTCTGAAGGTGGAGTGAAGAATTTCAGGTTTTTATTTAGTGGTGGCCTACTGCTCTGGTCTTCAGATGAGAACTCTCAGATTTTTCTTTTTCTTCTGTTTTTGAGACAGATTTTCACTCTTATTGCCCAGGCTGGTCTCAACTCACTGCAACTCACTGGTGGCGTGGTCTCAACTCACTGCAACCTCCACCTCCCAGGTTGAAGTGATTCTCCTGCCTCAGCCTCTCAAGAATCTGGGATTACAGGCGCCCGCCACCATGCCTGACTAATTTTCGTATTTTTAGTAGAGATGGGGTTTCACCATTTTGGCCAGGGTGGTCTCGAACTCCTGACCTCAGGCGATCCACCGCCTCAGCCTCCTGAAGTGCTGGGATTACAGGTGTGAGCCACTGTGCCTGGCCCAGATTTTTCTTTTTCATATTGCACTTTGAGACACATTTAGAGTCCAGGGAGATGGCCAGGGATGGATTCCTTTGATGTAGATTATTATTTGGCAGGAAAAACACGAGAGGTTTGAGTTTCTCCACGCCTGCTCCCTGTTGGTAATTGTGTAGCATATCCAAGGATGAAATTTCAAACAAGACATAGAACGCCTTTTGTTTTCCTTGAAGCTTAGCAAATTGAAGTCTTCTGAGTCCTGTGAGATCAGGTATTTCGAAAAGGGAATTATAGGAAGAAACTTGGTATTTAATTTGAACCTTTATTTTCTCTTCCCGTATTTTGTAGTATGTCACACTAGAATTTCATAAGGTTATTTCATTCTCATATTAGTACTTCTCAGGCAATCATAAATTGTTTCTTTGAAACCATTATGTGTTATATTTCCAGCCATCAGAATTCATCAATAGTCTAAAACTGTGTGGTCATTATTTTATCTTTTTTTTTTTTTTTTTTTTTGAGACGGAGTTTCGCTCTTGTTACCCAGGCTGGAGTGCAATGGTGTGATCTCGGCTCACTGCAACCTCCACCTCCTGGGTTCAGGCAATTCTCCTGCCTCAGCCTCCTGAGTAGCTGGGATTACAGGCACGCACCACCATGCCCAGCTAATTTTTTATATTTTTAGTAGAGACGGGGTTTCACCATGTTGACCAGGATGGTCTCGATCTCTTGACCTCGTGATCCACCCGCCTCGGCCTCCCAAAGTGCTGGGATTATAGGCTTGAGCCACTGCGCCCGGCCTATTTTATCTTGATGGAACTTTCTTCTTTCTTTCTTTTCTTTGAGACAGGGTCTTGCTCTGTTGCCTAGGCTGGAGTGCAGTGCCCTGATCAGAGCTCACAGCAGCCTCGAACTCCTGCAGATCCTTTCAGTGTGGCTTCCCCAATAGCTGGGACTATAGGAGTGTATCACCTAGCTTATTTTTATTTTTTGGCAGAGATGGGGTCTCACTGCGTTGGTCAGGCTCGTCTTGAACTCCTGACCTCAAGCAGACCTCCCAAAGTGCTGAGATTACAGCTGTGAGCCACCGCACCTGGCTGGTAGAACACTTTTCCTTGACATCTCTGAAGAAAGTGTGGTTAGGCCACTGGCTGATTGACTGGTTGGGAAGCTGCAGGCCTGAAGTTCAGCCTTTCCTCCTTTGTCTTGTCTCTTGACTCCTTGAGATGTCCTAACAGACTAAATCCTGGCAGGTCAGCCTCTGGGTACTTCTGCTGACTGGAACATTATAAATGTCTCCAGCTTTGTTACCTTTGTGTCTCTCTCTCTTTTTTTTTTTTTTTTTTTGGCTACCATTTCTTAAGAAACCTTTTCTGATTAGACATGGCAGAAAACAGTTTGAAAATGCGTGTTCATAGGGAAAGACAGGTCGGAAGGTTTACTTCATCTTCATTCCCTTGGGAAGGAAAGGAGAAAAGTATCAGCTTACTAGTACAGTGTTTCCCTTCACTGCTAAACCAAATCTCTGCATTAACCCAACGCTCTGACCTCAATAAAATGAATTTTTCTTCTTGTCATGAGACACAATTAGAGATTAGCAAATGACACCATTTAAACAGCTTGGGAGAAGGGTATCCATGGATGGCAGTTTGCTGCCCCTAGGCACAAGCCAGTACAAGCTTAGCTTCCCCAGAGGGGACAAGACTTCATGACGGTGACGGTATGGGTGATTGCTTTCGGAGGGGCTTTGTTGTTGTGGCTCTACCCCGATGACTCACCTGATTGGGCTGAGTCACTGTCTACTGCCTGGACTCTGGGGACACAGTCTCTGTTTCCCACACGAACCTTTGATTATTTGACGTTCCTTTTTCATCTACCATCAGGAGAGAACCCTTGGACTCTTTCATCCATTTTTTAAAATTTGTTTTTCCTTAGCTCATGAGCTGAAGAAAGACTCTTTTATTCACACTGAGCTATGAGGGAAAATGGGAAGTTCTAGTCTGGGAGGAAGCAGTTGCTTTTTGGGAGTGGCAGTAGAGGACATTAAAGGAGTGAAATCCCCCGATTCACAAATCATAGGTCAGGTATGGGTGGATAAAAAAATTGTTTCTCCTGGGCTTGGATCCTTGTGGAAATAGATTATATCAGGGTCTGGGTTAGCTTCTGGAATTTCACAGTTACCCATTTTATTATTGTTGCTTATGAAATTGAGTGTTTTAAAGGATGCTAATTAATATTACAGATGTTGTACATTTTGGCTGAATGGCTGAGTATATAATTCAACATGTTACTACAGGCCTGAAGCCAGACATCACCATCATAGGATGAGCTCCTAGGATATAAGAATAAATTAGAAAATTTATCAGAATTTTAAATTATTATCACAATCTCAATATTTAACATTTTAATAGTCAAAACTTAAAAGTCTGGGCTGGGCATGGTGGCTCACATCTGTAATCCCAGCACTTTGGGAGGCCAAGGCAGGAGGATTACGAGGTCAGGAGATCGAGACCATCCTGGCCAACATGGTGAAACCCAGTCCCTACTAAAATACAAAAAATTAGCCAAGCGTGGTGGCAGGCGCCTGTAGTCCCAGCTACTCAGGAGGCTGAGGCAGGGGAATCACTTGAACCCAGGCAGCGGAGGTTGCAGTGAGCCAAGATCATGCCACTGCAGTCCAGCTGGGTGACAGAGCAAGAGTCTGTCTCAAAAAAAAAATTTAAAAGTCTAACACTTTAATGCAGGAAGTGACCTTCACTGTTAGCTAAAGTCCATGGTCAGCTGTTAGCAGGAAATCTAGATGGCAGGGCTTGTTTGTGTGTCTGAGGTCATGATGCTGATCAAATGGGACAGAATCACACACACGCCCAGGACCACAGACCATGCACAGGTTCAGGGCTGTCTGTGATGATGCTGAAGTTGGCATTTGCCTATTCAGCATTCCAGGGCCAAAGCTAATAGCAGACTGGGCTGAAATCAAGGCTGGAGCTGAATGGCAGTACATTCTACAATTGATCCCCTTCCCAGAAATGATTTTCCTCTGTAAGGTTGTGACTGTCTACCTGGAGTGAGGCAGTCAGTTCCAAAGAGCTTTTTGACCTTGCTTTTCATGGTTTTGTTTATTAGTGTACTGCTTTCCCATGAAAACTCATTTTTTCTTCCCCATGGCTATTTTCATGGTTTCACATCCTTTTCAATGTACCCTTTTGTATTTATCACCTTGGCTTTAATAAGAAACTTGAAATGCATAAACTACACACATACCTCTCTCACATGTAATTTTAAATTTGTTTTCTCTTGGGCAAAAGGAGCCTGGTGCTCTTCAGAAATGAGAAATATTGATAATGTCCCTGTGCTAATAGAGCCCTGGAGGGTAAGTGCTGACAATGGCACTGAAGCTACAATACTCTTGAGTCAACGTTCTCAAAGCAGGTCTGTCACAGGCACCAGCTTAGCTCCCATGTTTTCTGCCATTCCTGTATGTGATGCAGTGTTAGAATTTCCCAGATCCTGAGCAGGTAGATGATATATTCCCTTCTTACTGTTGTTCTTTTTTTTTGGAAAACAGCAAAACCCATCTAAAAAAAAAAAAAGAAAAGAAAGAAAGAAAAAAAGAATTGTTCTCAAAGCTTTTTTGACAAAGAAAATGACAGAAAAGTCAGTAGTGGAGATTAATTCACACAAAATTATTCCCCCCTCTTGTTCGTTTTCTAAAAAGACTATTTTCAGAGATTTGAGACAAAAGGCAGTTTTAGAATTATTTAGTACAGACTCATCTTTTTTATACACGAGGAAGTAGGTGGAGGCTATATTGTTAGATTTCTTTCTGATCTTTGTTTTCTTTTTGCTGTAAAGGCTTGGCTCTTCAATTCTGGTTTATATAACCATTTTTTATTTTATTTTATTATTTATGTATTTTTTTTAAGGAGAGAAGGAAAGAAAAAAGGAGTGAAGGAGAGGAAGAAAGAGGAAGAAAAAGAGGGAGAGAGAACAGAAATGTTGCTTTATTCTAAAAATGGGTATTAATAATGGCCGATCAATATTTCATTTAAACCTATGAGTAGGTGTGATGTGGTATTAACAAGAACGTATATTTAAAGCGGAGAGCTCTATAAATATTTATTAAGTTTACTTGTTCGGGATCTGAGTTCAAGTCCTGGATATCCTTATTAATTTTCTGTCTCGTTGAGTCTAAGTCTCTTTATAGGTCTTATGTATCTGGGTATTAGGATCGTTAGCTCTTATTGTTGCATTGATCCTTTTACCACTAAGTCTTTGTTGCTTTAAAATCTATTTTATCAGATGCGAGAATTGCAACTCCTGCTTTTTATTTATTTATTTATTTTTGTTCTCCATTTGGTTGGTAAATCTTTCTC